CGTTTTTGGGTTGGGTTTTTTTTTGTTGTTGTTTACCTTGTTTACACCGAGTCTGATTCTGTAGGCGGTTAACGGGTGCTCCGATGTGATGTCAGCAGCTGGTGGGGGCTGCTCATTCCTTCCTATCAAACTTCTATCGTCCGTATTTCTCGTTTTTTTTGTGTGTACGTTACTAGAAATACTAGACTCTCTTGTCATTCCTCGAACTGACGGCTCGTATATGACCTAATTGTGGTGCAAGTGCGTAAAACTCTTATTAAAAAGAAAAATAGTTTGATAATTTCTTATTTTCTGTGGCAATCAGCATTATGCTGGCCCTGAACACATTTCGTATTGTAATTTTTTATTGTTGGTGTTTTACACCTACATCGACACAACTTGGGCCATTAGGAAGACGGGCTTTTTCAGCCATGCCTGCCAGGACCTGCCCACTTGCGAAATAAAGGATACAACATCCAAGCAAACAGACGGAAATACTGGATAAAAGTAAAACCTTTCTTAATCGGTACTCAGTCGAATTCAAGTCTTCGCTTGCAACAGCGAAGTGCCTGACCACTCCTGCACTATAGACATTAGGGAGGAGGGGGAGGGGGCACAACTTACTTGGATCAACAAAGAATATTAATTTTTCCTGAAATTGTATTCTTTCTTGTAAAATTCTAACGATCTCCACCCCCCACGCCCTACATCCCACATCAGACGAGTACTGTACTGTGAGCACGATTACTCTTAGGTGCTGAGAGCTGCCATAGTGAGCGCTTGGTTTATATGTCGATCACTGGCCGACTGTTTGACAAATCATGAAATTATAGTACCGACCATTTGGTCCTTCCCTCAAATTTTCCAAGCCAACAGCTCCCTCCCACCTTTGTGGCTTTCTTTTTTAAAGATTTAGTTTAGTCATATGAGCGCCAAGGGGTGGATGTCAACAGAGTAGTCCAAACGGGGAATCAGGCTTAATCTGCTCACCTCTCTAGCCTCAAAAGAAACAAAGTCTACTTCGACTATCAAGGCACCCCGGAAAAAGCAGTTCACCAGAGAGTGACAAACATACCAAAGAAGTAGAGGAAAATGACGATAGTAGGGAAGAGGAAAGAAAAAGCAGCAGTTCCCCGGCCCTTCGTTGTTCCGGCACAGTATGAGCATGACATTGATAAATCAGCTCATATACAATTCTACAGTGCATAAGAACATGTTAATATCCCCCCTTTGGGAATGGCCTAAAGACAACTTTAGTCAGTTATACTGTGCCCTGGTGCGTTTTTGTGGGCTTTTTTGTTGTTGTTTTTTGTTTTTTCTTGGGAGTGCTTATTTAGGCCACATATGGCCTAAATAAGGTAAGGGAGGGGGGTTTAGCTTATTTAGGCCACACATGCTCAAACTACCCTTTTCAGGCAACTGAGTTCGTTCCACTTTCATAATGGTGCACCTTTCTCATTTAGTACGGTTTTGTCTCAGTGTACAACTTATAAATCATAACCATAATGAATATTGTAAAGAACAAAGCACAATACGCAAAATTTTGCTCAATCCCAATGGTTTGAATGAGGGCCAGATTTTTCCTTCATGGAGGGGCAAAAGCTAGGCTACCATTTTGGCACACTTTGGTCAAGTGAAAAGGTCAAATCCTCCGAATGGACTTCCGGGTTAAATTTGGGGTATAAAAAGAGTGTACACTACGTGGCTGAGTCAAAGTTACACTATCTTTGCCTGAGTGACACTCTCTCGTACTGTCTCGTAGTAGTACATGTAGACTAGTAGGCCTAGTAGTAGTAGTAGCAAAGATCGTGTAGAGAATATTTGGTAGTAGATTCTATCTAGTAGGCAGTTTAGTGAACGTGCTCAGGGCGAATCGGCCTCGATAAGCCCTGTAGACTTTTGTGATCGGCCACGAAGCCTCGTGTTTTGATGGGTCTAGATCTAAACAACTCAGTGTTATTCGCACTGCCACATCCGACAGGCCTAGATCTACATCTTTTTAAAAGGAAAAGAAAGATCATCAAAATGGTTGAATTCGCGTGAAAATGGATTCGGTAGAACTAGAACTATTAAAATTTGCTTCTGAAAACAAGGCAATTTTTATACGAAGGCCATTTTTATAACTCTATGAAATAAAAACTACTGGCTGTGTACTGTGTTATTCTGTATAAAAATAAATTATGAAACTTCAGGACGTATTATTATTTTCCAGCATCTTTTGACGCCTGAGCTGTAGAGGTTGAAGTTTTCACAACACTAATAGATCTAGTAAGAGGGTTAGGTAATAGGGCTTTCCGTAAAAAATGCATAGATCTACAAAAGCCGAACCACCGAATTGACCGGGCACCTCGCTCTCCCCTGCACACTGTGATAACGTGTTGCTTCGGTATCGCATTATTCAACTATTAATACATGCGGCTATGGCAATTGGGATGTACTGACTGAAAAAAAATTCAGTTTTGTTTTTATTTTACCATATATTTGACTTTAATAGTGCAGGCGATAGCAAGATCCAGATTCCCTGTCTAGAATCAGTAGTAGCAGGCCTATGCTAGAAGCAGCCAGAGAGCCTACAACTGCTAGATCTAGATCTAACTTATTATTGCTATGCCTTTGGGCTTTGGAATTGAAATAAAACGAATTGCACAGTTCTAGTTACTTTTAGATTCAGCAAGTAACTGTATTTCCAGAGTCAATAATAACAAATCTCAGCATAACAATCACTTTTACTTGTATTAGAATAATTAGATCCAACTTTTTTTTCTAAAATCTGTTTTGCGCAAACTTAATATTTTCTCTACTTGTAGAGCACAGAATTTACATTGTAAGCCTCTGCTCAGTCTTTTAGTATACATAATAAAATACACACACACAAGCACACACACACATATATATATATATATAGAGAGAGAGAGAGAGAGAGATCTATATAATCATTTTATGTTGTTTTCGGGATATTTTTAAAACTCTTTTTCAACATGTCATAAAATCAAATTGTGCCATTTTCTTTGAAAAGAATAGCATTATCAGTGGACTTTTTAGACAGCGAGTCTCTGATTCAATATTTTAAAAAAAATATGCTAATCAATGAAAATTGCAAATTGATAATAGTTTAGTCCTGTAGAGGATAGGTGGACTCTGGGGTCTGCAGAGCGAAATACTAGGTTTTAGGATGTGAACCCCGGAGTCACCATAGTGAAATAAGGTTTGGTTTAAGTAAGGATTGGTGGACCCCGGGGTCAACGTAGTGATAAATAAGCAGGTTTAATGTGGACCCCGGGGTCTACCTAGCGAAATACTAGGTTTTAGGACAGGTGGACCCCGGGGTCACCGTAGTGAAACAAGTAGGTTTCTTTAAAGATTGGTGGGCCCCGGGGTCAGCGTAGTGATATAAGTAAGGTTAATTTTAAAAGGATTGGTGGACCCCGAAGTCACCATAGCCGTAGAGGAA